TAATTAAGATAAGCTGTGTGGAATGTATATATACCCCTCCTGTCCTACAATAAACGGTTCCCACTCCTGCTGTATCAATGTACACAAGTTGTTCGTCACCCCTCAGTTATTTTGCTGCAGCTGGACTGTGGCAGACCACTGAGTTATATTACCAGCTCTTTTTATTTTGAGAAGGTCTCACCAAGTTGTTGAGGCTGGCCTTGAACCTGAAATCCTTTTGCTTCAGCTTCCTGAGACACTGGTTATATTTTAGTTCTCAATGATGCTAAGTTACAAAGGAGGGAGAAAAACTGGAAAGTTAGTTCAGAGAGTAATAGACACAAATTGAAGGAAACTGAAAGAATTGAAAATTTGGTTAAGTGTTAACAATTTGGGCATGGTATAGGATCCAGTCCAATTTATAGGTAGATAACAAAATTTTTTTCCCATAGTAGAAGTCAATTATGTTTTTACCAGATAAGAGATTGTATATGCATTAGTCATCTGCAATTTTCAAATGGGAAAAATATTGTAAACACAATTAATGGAAGCAGAATCTGATAATCCAGAAGGATGTATCAACATTTTCTACTGAATTTTATTCTTAAAGTTATCCCTTCTGATTAAAGATGATCTCAAAGAACATTATTCTTGATCACAAAATGACTGGTCTCACTAGATTTAGCCTGATTATTTACAAATTGTAGCCAGAAGTGTAATTTACCATCTAGGTTTTTAAAATAACTGTTTTTTTTTTATGTGTATGGTTCTGGGCATTGAACCCAGGGGTGCTCTACTATCGAGCTAGGTTCCCAGCCTATATTGTTTTTCACTTGAGACAGGGTCTTGCTAAGTTGACAAGGCTGATCTGGAACTTTGGTTCTCCTGCCTCAGCCCCTGGAGTCACTAGGATTACAGGCATGTGCACCCAGCTACCTATATTAGCTTTTATTAGCTTTCTGCTTTTTAATAATACAATTCCTCAATGTGGCAAGAATAAGTATATTCATTAACAGATATATATATATAAACCTTACATATATTATGTACGCATATATATAAAACCTTACATATATTATGTATGCATATATATGTATATATACATGGCTAGCAATTAATGTTCCAATAGTTTATCTTACTTAGAAATGATCTAAATTATGTGAAATTACCTAAATTAAGTGAACTGGAATTCTTAAAACATTTGAGTAAGCTTTTATGAATTTTTTTTTCATATTGAAAGTAGTACTATTCCAATAAAATAACTTTAGGAATATTATGTGTGTTTGTGTGTGTTTATTTATCTCTAAACCAATCAGAATAAACTCTTTAAAGAAATTTATAATCCTACTTAGTAATATCATCCACAGATGGGAAAATATTA